GTTTCACGCTCCTCAAAACGCACTAATCAGAGGCCTTGCTGTCGGATGTAGTTTATTATCTAACCCAGGACGCGGATTTAGTTTATCGTCTTACCCAGGACGGCAGTATCGTCGATCGGATGAACAGATCTCCCCTAGGGGAGACTCCCTGCCTTGAGAGACTGTTAGGCCTGAAACTCACACCTGACCTCAAGTGGAACTCTTATATACGTTCCATCACTAAAGATGCAGGAAAATTTTTCAGCTCAAAGTACCACTCGAGTACTATCCTCTAACTTTATATGAGACAAATCAAGCCGAGAATGGAGTACTGTTGTCGTATTTGGATTCCTGTTTCGTTCAAAAGCGTCTCCGTGTTGGGGGTGACGAATTATTTTCCATCCTCCAACCTCTCTCTCACAGGCGGGGTGTGGAGAGTCTCTCACTGATCCATTGCTATTTCCATGGAAACTCATTCCTTGGTCCATTGTATCAAACCACCCACATTCCCTCCGTATTCCATCGGTGAGAAGCATTTTCCACTTGAACAGCTTCTTTCCGCGAGCCACTGCTCTGTGGAACTGACTCCCAAGTGGATACTTCCCCGAGCTTTACAATTTTAACCTGGTCAAGTCTAGAAATAACCGTTATCTTTCTATCCTATCCATATAAACTACCCCTTAATGTAACCCTCTGCCTCGAGTGATTCTCGGGCCTTATACAGGGCGAACCTCAGCGTAAAAAAATAATTTATCAATAAAGCCACGGAAACTGCTGTAGATAAAGAGGATCTAAATCCGGAGACCGGAACGAGCATTTTAATGACTACACTTGATTGATTTATGAAGAATTAATCGATACTGCTTTTGTGGTATACAAAACCTGGATTTTTAAAGTGATTTATCCCCTTTTTTACTAGCCAAAATACTCTTGAGTTTTTAATTCGAAAAGATAAATATATGTAATTTTGAAAAGAATTAACGATGTCTTATTGAAGACTTTTCTTCTGTTTTAATGTGCCATGACCTTTCGGGACGTAGGCGATCATGGCTCTCCACCTCCCTTTATCCCTTGAAGCTCTCAACAAGTTCCTTTCCTCTGCTTCCTCCCCCAGACCATATTCTGTCATCCACTTGCTTAAATCCACGAGGTATGTCACGCATGGAACCACCTCTTAATTGCTGGTGTTCCCAGGTCCGCCCTAACCCGATGTGGTAGCACCTGTTAGGGTCCCAGCTATGGGCAAATAGTTAACTATTACCAGCAATACTTTTTTGAAAAAAATTATTACCAGCAATACAATTTTGAAGGAAAAATATTACATATTATAGCATCCTCGAGTCATCAAGAGTTTATTCAACAATTTGTTTAAGCTGTATGGTTCCCGTACGATCATAGAAGTGAAGTTAAGCAACGTCGAGCCTGGTCAGTACCTAGATAGGTGACCGCTTGGGAACATCAGATGCTGTAAGCTTGGATGTACGGTTTTTGTAATGGATAATGGATAATGGCTCGGAATTGGAAATCAGAGATCTGGATTCCAAATCCAATCGGGTTCATTATGCTCATTTACGTGCAAATACCTTTGGAAAAGGCATGAACCCACATCTTCGTCCTCCAATTATGGGTTAATTAGTAGAAATTGTATTAGTAAAAATCATTATCATTTTTTTGACTTCACATAACCTGAAAAAGGTTGATAACCCGTTAAAAACAAAACAATCAATGAGACTGTATGGTCGGTGGGAGAAGAAAAGAGTAACATGTGAAATGTTAGAATCAAGCAAGTACAGAAATTTAACTCTATGGAAGTCTTATAACAGACAATGGAAAATGTGATGCAGAAATTCGAAGTCAATTTGGAATAGCAGAAGTTGCCTTCCAGAAGTTAAACAAATTAAGAGACGGGAAATTTTCACATGAAAAAAAAAAAGAAAAAAGAAATGTTAATCAATAAAAGAGTGCTGAATTGCAATGTAATATCAATCTTTCTGTCTGGCAGATGAAGAGAAGAAGCAAGAGAGATGTGATTCTACAGAAGAATACTGTGAATACCATGGATGGAACATGCGAGAAATGAGAAAGTTTTAAGAAAAACAGGAAAAAAAAAATATTGCACATAAGAAATTACTGGGATACATAATGAGTGGAAATGGTTTTTCAATGATTAATTGATTTTTACGGCTTATCAACCCTTTCTAAGTTATTTAAAGCCGAAGCATATTTTGCAGTGTAAGAATAATTCATTGTTTTCTTTTTGCGAGTGAATATTGCATTAAAAATTTTTTTTAGAATAGCAATGATTCTTCTGATGCTAGTCCTACTATTTAACCCATATAGAGGGAAGAGATGGATACATACCTTTCCCAAGTTTATTTGTGCGTAATTTAACGAACCCGATTGTAGTTTGAACTGGATTCTACGATTTCTCATTTTGAACCGCTATTAATTACACCACCAATTAATGGTATTAATTTACCAAACAATTCTATGTCTAAATAATTTACTACTTTATTAAAGAAGCCATTTATTTATCAACTACAAAAAATATGTAGGAAATTCACAAAGTATATATATTTTTTAGCATTTTGTTAAATTACCTCACAGCCCCATTGTTATTTCTTAGGAAACTACATTGTTTGGTTTGTATATTTCATGTAACCGTATGTATCCACTTTATTTTATGCCTGGCTGCCGTTAGCTGCACATTTACGGGTCATGACCCATTTATAAAAAATAATTTTTAATTTTTGCTTCTTCGCTTAGTTTAAATTTAACATTGGTCATATCTGATTGGTTGATCAGAGTAAAACCCACAAACCTTATCACCCCCTTTTTTTCGTAAAAAGAGGTTGTATTTTGCTTTTAAATGTAAATAAATCGTTCACTCGCCAGTAATTTACAATTTCCCGATGAGATGCATTGATATGCATTGAAATACGACTGCAATTGTGTAGCAATTTTTATATGTTTTCGGTGTAATATCCTAAAATAAATTATCTATCTATCTATCTATCTATCTATCTATCTATCTATCTATCTATCTATCTCTCTCTCTCTCTCTCTATATATATATATATATATATATATATATATATATAAAGAGAGAGAGTGAGAGATAGAGAGATGTTTTTAAAATAGACATTTTAAAAGTATGTATAAATTTATACAAAAATATATAAAACCAAGAAGTAGGAAGAGTAAAAAAAAAGTCTAACTGGTTATTGTTTCTTATTCTGCAGAGTCCGTAAAGGATAAAACATTAAAAAAATGCTCGTTTTTAAAAAATATTATATATATATATATATATATATATATATATATATATTGCAAATTATATATTACAAATGGAAAAATATTCATCAGGGAAATACAAAAAGCTGGTAAAATATATGATGAACGTTCGACATGAACTAAGAATTATAAAGAAAAGACACAGAATAAATATTAACGCCTTTTTTAAAAGTCACCCACTTCATTCTTTTTTAATCCCGAAAACGTCAGCTTAAGGAAAAATACTATGATTCATTATTTAAGTATACACACACACACACACACACACACACACACACACACACACACACACACACACACACACACACACACACACACACACGCGAGCGCGCACACACACGGTATTTATCCCCCCCCCCACACACACTTGGACAAGATGTGACACACGGTCTATTTTTAGATGGAGACCCGAGCGCGTACGCCCGGGACAGGAAGAAAAATTGCCCTCAGCCCCCGGAACAGTCGGTTGCGCTGGCCTCAGTGCGAGCACCGATCCTTCCCTCTTGTGCAATGGGAGGGCTCGGCCTCGGCCTCGTGCAGCTGTTCCCCAAGGCTGGGCACCTCTTAAGTATTGTTTTTTTTTTTCAGTTGCCCCTCCCTGTCCTTTGACAGAGAGACCCCCGAGCGCACCCTGTCCAAAGACACAGACGCAACTGAGACACCATAAGAAAACGTGAACTTACTCAAAAAGACTAAGGTGAACGCGTGCGCGCACCCCCCCCATATATATATATATATATATATATATATATATATATATATATATATATATATATATAATTAAAGACGACTGAAAAGATACTGCAGTTATGCTTTTTATTTAATTTTCTTGTGTTCGTGTGTAAAAACTGTCCAAATATTCTATATAGCCGAACGCTTTCGGCTATTCTATTAGTCATTATCAAGAATGTTTTTTTTTTTGTTATTTTTAACTGTTTTTATATGTACATTTATATATATGTGTATCTGTAGCGAGGAGACTGTTTAGTAAATGAAAAAAAAAACATTATGTCTTCGGTTCTTCCAAAAAGTGTGGTTGGTTCTGCACAAGTCTTCACCACTATAATCAAATTATATGTGAGAGTTGTCTGACTTTTCGTTTCTAATAACTGAAGTGCTGGGACCTCATACATCGAAGAAGACGAGAGAGTTCATCATATTGAGCGCTATTTTGTAAAAAAAAAAAAATATCAATAAGAACACCGGATTATATATCTTACTGCTCTTTCTTTATATATATATATATATATATATATATATATATATATATATATATATATATATATATATTCATGTGAGTAATTGTCAATGGCCATATATTTATAAAATGTCATATTTGAGTAAAATAATGGCGTCTCTTGACTTATGTCCCTATATATTATTCGTCTCTTAGAATTTTATGCTAAATTCAGTGATTATCAATAAATATATCTTTATTCTACATCTAAACTGAGTCAAATTATGTATCGTTTTTTATGCTTCTTTTGTAGTTTTGCTGTCTGTCTGGTCTGGACGCAGACAGAATTTTTTTTTTTTAAAGATTCTTCTTTTCTCAGAAAAATGTATCAGATTATTTTTTTTTTTCCCATTTTTTCTTCCATTTTCTCTTTTTGTTTTTCTCCATTATTCCTCGCCTTTCATTACTTAATCGCTTTTTCCCATTCTTTTTTCATTTTCTTATTTTTTCTTTCTCGCGATTCTCTTCAAATTTTTCCCCATTATTTAAGTTTCATTTTCTTTCTTTCGTAAACAAATCACTCTCTCTACTCACCCTCTTTCTGTCTTTCCAGATTTTACTCTTTCCTCATTCGCATTCTTTCTTTTCCTTTCTTTTAATTATCTCCATTTTCCAGTTTGTACTTCTTTATTTTATCTATATAACGTTCTTTCATTAACACATTCTCTCTTTACAGTATGTTTTTTTTTGTTTTTGTTTCTTTGCAGCCATTTTTCTTACTAAATCTCTCAGTTTTTGTAGATTTTTTTTCATAAAGTGATTCATTCTTTGCAGCATAATCTCTCCCTTTTTTTTTAATATTCATTTATTCATTTAGATTTTTCATTATTTAAATATCTTACATTTTTCTACCAAATTTTTCTTCCTCTTCTGTTTTCCGTTCTCCTTATTTTTTGTTCATTCATTAAATTCATTCAATCTGTTGATCGAAGTATCACAAGATTTGCCAAGAATAAATCTCCATAAATTGATCCATTAAGCATATCGAAATATTGGTTGTAAAATCGATAACTATGGGAAGGAGACTTTTATTTTTTTTTTATTTTCATTACTTTCGTCATAGTTTTCATTCTTCTTTGCATACAACGAACGTTGATTTCTTTTTTTATTATCCACCTTCTCAGGCGCACGCGCGCGCACACACACACAGACAAAAAGACAACATTTTTTTGTCTTCTCCGTTTTGGGCGTATGGCGTCGAGTAATATCTACTCAGTCAGACTTCCAGATTTTTACGGTATTATGACGTCTGTCGCAACTGGGTGCCTATCTCCGTCTATTTTACACTTAGCATGTACTTGGGCGCTTGTCGTGGTGCAGTAATAAGTATCTCAATTTCTAAACGAAGACAGATACTTTGATCCTCACTGGGTGTGCTGTTATCGTGACTCAGTAGAGAAATAAAATAATAATATTTCTCACTGAGATTGAAGAGAATATAGTTTTTGTATTGTAATAAAATCATTAAGGAATCCGTGGACAGTACCGTAACTTTTTACAGGAGGGTGAATGCATATTAAATGAAATTAAAACGGCAGCAAACGTTCATGCACAGGTAACAAACAATCGTAATTATACACATACATATATATATATATATATATATATATATATATATATATATATATATATATATATATTTTTTTGACGTTTTTGTTGAGCGCAGTAGAGGTGGTTTTCTTACAAGCATCTATCGTAAACCCACCTTTACGGGTCTCTATTTGAATTGGCGTTCATTTGCTCCTGCATCAAGGAAAATCAATCTTGTTAAAACCTTGGTGTATAGAGCGCTTAAAATTTGTTCTCCTATTAGATTGGACCGTGAATTTGAGAACATTAGGGACATTTTCCTCAGTAACGGCTATCCGGAGGACCTTATTGACTATATTATTAGTAAGAAGACTAAGGAATTTCATTCCCCTAAAGTCCAGGGGCCTTCTAAATGTCCGGTGTATTTGAAGACTCCCTGGATTGGGGATAGGGGTCAAAGCTTAATTAAGCAGGTTAGCAAGTCGGTTTCCGGTTGTTTCCCATCAGTTGCTTTACGTAGCATTTTTCGAACTAGGCTTGTGTTTTCGTCGTTTCGCAAGGATGTATTGCCCTACATCAAATTGAGTAATTTAGTATATGAGTTTAATTGCCAGTGTGCTGCTGGTTATGTGAGGCGTACAACCTTGCATTTGGAAACTAGAATCAATCAGCACGTACCTGCCAAAATACGACTTGGTAAGATAGATAAAATATGCTATCTTCCCCCCATGAATATGGAATCGGCTATTGCTCAACACTTAGTTGAGAATATAGCCTGCGCCAAATCGTATAGAAAAGAGTGGTTTAAAATTATTCATACAACCGATTCCAACAATCATTTGAAGATTTTGGAATCGGTCTGCATAGGATTAAGGAAACCTTCTCTCTTCCGGCAGAAAGAATTTGTAAAGTCTCTTAATCTGTTGGGGGATATTTTATTTTAACTGTCCCTCGCTAATTTATTTACACGTTATTTCCCCTCCCCTCGTTACAAGGATATACACTTATTTGTTATTTTAGTGTGTTTCCCCACTTTTTGCTCTTTATTGTCGTTAATATTCTTTTCGTTGATTAATTATCCAACGATTGTCTCCTGATGAGATGTTGGTTGAAAGGGCCTTAGAGACTTTTAAAATTAAAATCAATACATTCCTTGTTTTTAAAACTATATATAAATTTTGTACCTCTAAGCATTTGTATATATATATATATATATATATATATATATATATATATATATATATATAATTTTGTGTATTTATGCAGCAAATTCTCTTTGAGGCATGTCTGATTGAATAAATTACAGACATTATGTCTAGTAATTTTTAACAAAATCCGTTCATACTTACAAATAATTTTGCGTGTATTGATATTAAAGGATGAGAGAAATGTGCTATAACTGTTTAAATTATTTTATTTTCATTTCCCAAGTACTTTCGATCTTCTTTCAAGATCATCTTCAGGGGTGGAAGTAGTACAAAACTATATGTTGTTCATTAGTACAAGTATTTGTACAAAGTTGTGCATTCCTAATATTTTCATTATGCTTTTTAAATGCGATGTTGTGCGTTGTTGTTCATTACCATAATTTTTTCATTATGCTTTTAAATGCAAAACGATTAACAATGTGCTGAGCGTTCATTAGATCGAGAAAAAATTATCCATTATTGAATTTTTTTCATGTTATAATGTCATGGTCATACGCGCATTAAAGCATTTAAAAACTGTTCCTTTACAGTCATTTCAGGACATCACTGAAGTATTCATAGTTGATTCTTTTCAGTGCTGGCTTTAATTTTTTTTAATATAAATTGCTTCTAGTATCTGTAATCTGAATTTGTTGTTTTCATGATGTAGGCTAATTGTGTTGTCCATTAGTAATTTTTTATATTATGAATGTAGACAGAAATGTTGTAGATGTCTCGCGATAGAGGAATGGCCAGACATGTGTAGTGTAAGACTTCTTGTTAGTGTATTCGTCGTATAACTAACATATATATTTGTTTTTTTTTGTCAAAGATGCATCCTCCCAAGGGACATTTAAATTGGTATATATATATATATATATATTATCGGACATTAAAACAAAAATATGTTAAAAATCGCTACACAATAGCAATCATGTTTCAACACTACAAATGTGTCTCTACTGACGACGATAAATTACTAGTGAACAATTAATTTCAAAAGCAGAATATTTCCTCTTTTTTTGAAAGAGAAAGAGAAGACGAAAAAAAAAAACAGAATTAAAATGAGGCTTGCGGGTTTACCGTGATCAAACCTATAACCTCATCTATAGAATGTAGGATTAGCAACCACTCATCTGACAAAGATGTGTTTAATAAATATAGTGGTGTTTGTAATACTGTCTTAAAAAAATGGTGGTTACAAGTACGCAGAAATCAAGTATAGAAAACATTATAATAGCGACCTAAGGAAAAGAAATAAGAATAGGAAAATCATTTGGTAACCCTCTCCCACCATTTAACCAATTGGTCAGTACTAGGTTAGGACAGAAGTTCCTACATTTAAATGACAAACATTTTCCTAGAAATAACCCTCTCAGTAAAATATTTAGCAGAAACACACTAAAACTAATTTATAGTTACACCCAGCGTGCAGCACCTTTGGAAAGTGCCTGAAAACCATACCACGAGTTGACCCTAGCCTTGTGAGTGAAATTGGGTAGACGATATCTGTGCTAGCACGAAGTCACAAATCACTGTGACCGACGATGGTTTGAGTGTGCTGGCGTTGTTCAGATTGTTGATCATGCTAGATAACACACTATCTCCCAGAAACTGTAACTAAGGTCTGTTCAGCATAGTTGCAGTATAAACGACGTGGGCTCTGTGGGTGTTGAAAAACAAAAATGTGCCTGAGCGAGAGTCTGCAATAGGGATTGGCTAGCCGCTCTAGTAGACGGGTATGCTTGAATACGGGTGGCCAGCTATTATATATATATATATATATATATATATATATATATATATATATATATATAATAACAAATCGGAGACTTCAGAAAGCCATGGTAATATTTTATATTTCATGAGACCGATAAAATTCGGTTTCATAAAAATGAGTGGATACAAAATTTTTTCCAGGAATCAATCGAAAAACGAAATCAAAAACAAGATTAGCGGAAGTTGTGTTTTAAGATAGTTACATAAAGTAGGAAGGGGATGTATATGTCTCTAGGAGATACGATGGTTGTTGAGTTGACTTCTCATTCACCGAACAAGAGAAAGGAATAAAGGAAGAGGCAAGGAACAGGAGATAGGAAGGGAGAAATCGGAGATCTTACACAAATCCCCATACCTACATACACATTTTTCTATATATTTCCAGCACAGATACAAAACAATTGTTTTGAAACCGCAAGGTCTGACGAAGTGAAATCGAATCGGTCTCGCGAAATATAAAATATTACCGTGGTTTTCTGAAGTCTCCGATTTGTTAATTAATTATAATTTGCTCTGTTATTTCATTGAGCTCCTGCGATTTATATCCTCTCTGGAATTATCCATACGGATTACTAATTAACCTTAACATTATATATATAATTCAAGAAGAAACCTCAACAGAATGCTGGATGGAGCAGCTTGGTGATAGTAGTCATGGCTCGTGGGGGCACAGTCCTATGGGTAAAAGAGAAACCCGGATGAATATGTGATCGAGCGGCGCTATATCGAGTCTGATTCGCTAACCGAGGTCCGTTTGTACAGTGGGTATGACGTTTGCCTGATAACGTAATTGTCCGGGTTTCAATTCTCAGTAGCGGATGCGCACTTCCGATAAGTCCCAAATATAGGATGAAACGACCGTCCATTGCTTTCTGCATTATGTTGAGGTTTATTCTAGACTCGATGAAAGGCTCAAACACTAATATTCCATGGTTATAATGTATTACATTGGAATCGTAATCACGATCCAATTCATCAGACCTACAAATTCAAAAATATTCAATATATGTTCAAATTCTCTTTCTCTCTCTCTCTCTCTCTATATATATATATATATATATACGTTTGGCATACAGAAAAATTACGGTGACAAATTTTTGAACTGATTCAGTTTTTACAATAAAATCGTGAAATGAAATCTATCCTGAACGGTTACGCATTTCCAGATCATTTCGCACTAATGCATCTGACCCCCAGGCCTACATCCTTGGTCCTATTGTCTTTTAATTTTCATTAATGACCTCCCCGATGGCATCAGCCCCCAACTTGGTATCTACGCTGATGACATAACCATTTATCCCTTTCTCGGTAGTAAATCTGATCAGTTTGATAAGGTCAAAATGGCAGCTGATATCCAAAACGACCTTCAGTCTGTTGTTAAGTAGGGAAAAGGATGCCTCCAAAACTAAACAGCTCTCTATTAAACATCTGAGAGACCCCCCCTCTCTGCCTACCACGAGCATGGCTGATGCAGTCCCACAGGAGAGTGACTCGTAGCGCCTTCTCGGGTTAACGTTCTCCGTTGACACGAAGTGGAGAGATTATATTGAATCTATTGCAAGGTCAGCTGCTAAAAAAATTAGTTCACTGTGTCTTGCTAAAAAAAATGTTCTCTTCAGATATATTTTACATATCCATAGATCTATCATCCATCTATGCTTTGAATATTACTGTTATATATAGTCTATTGCCCCGTCTATCTATCTAGAGCTCTAAAATCCAAAGAAGAATCAGCAATATTATTGGTCCTGATATGGCAGCTCGGCTTCAGTCATTTTTCCACCGCTGTAAGATTGCCTCTCTCAACCCTTTCTATAACTACTTTCATGACAATCGTTCAGATGAACTCTTCGCTATGTTACCTAGGTTTTTATGAATTTAAGCGCAGTACTAGACTGGCAACAAGGTCTCATCACTTTACAGATGAATTGGCTGGGTGTAACCATAAGTTCTACGCTAACAGTTTCTTCTATCGCACTTCTCGCTTGTGGAACACCATTCGGCTCCATACTTTCCAGCCAACTTCAATATTCAAAAATTTAAATGCAATGTCGATCACTGTCTACTGTCCTCCTGATTAATCTTCTTTTGTTTTCGCTCCTTTGTAATGTTTGTTTCTAACACTTCCACATCCAGTAACCCCTTTTGTCTTAGTGGCTTTATGGCCTTGCGTAGGGACAACATGATTAAAAAAAAATACATACGTACATATTTTTCTAAATAAATTCTCGGTGAACAGGGATCGACTATAACTCACAATCATCAGGCCGACCGCCTGATGATTCTGTGAGAACGCATGAAACTTTTAATTGTGGTCGGCCACTGTTCACGAGGAATTTATTTAGAAATATTACGGCTCTTTCAGTTATCATGGCATTGAGTTCTCTTTCTCCAGTGTGCCTCTATAACAGATTCCTTTAGATTTGTTTATTTTCATTTTAGTTAAATTATATATATATATATATATATATATATATATATATATATATATATATATATTATAAATTAACTAGTTTAAAATATGTTTTTTTCGCTATACATATATATATATTGCGTATATTTTGGTTGGCACCATGTTTTTCATTAAGACATGTATCGTTAAATAATTTAGAGAAGTTTTGTTTTCTTATTTTTAACAGGGTCCTCTCGTAATTAGAGACAAGTTTCTTAGTCTTCCTATTAAAGGAAGGAAAAAAGAAAATGACCATGTCGATGCATATTTATTTTATTCTGAGTATTTTTGACATTAGCAAAGTATCGTCATCAGGGTCTTGTTTTTTTTTAAGACAAAAATTTTGTTCATCATTTTTCTAAGACGAAATTGTTGTGTGCATCTGAAAAATAAATTTTTACGAGTGAAGTGAAAAACGCTAGGTTTTTTTGTACTGTATAATTTAAAAATTTTATTATGTAGACACACAGGCAAACGTCAAGGGAGGTAACTAAGTTATTGAAATGTCTAAATCTTTTTTTAAGGAAAAAACTATTTAATACTACAAGTTAAAACCTACATATTTTAAACTATCTGACGACATAGGATTTAATTCTGTCTTAATACGGAATGATAGTTGGGACCATAAAGATGGGACATTCTGTATCCGATATGGTAACTGATCAAGGGTAGGGATATGTGACTTCCGAACGAACATCGGTGGCACGTGAAAACTACAGACATCCACAGATGTTGTAAGAACGAGGCCGCTGGGGATTAAAAAGGACTCTAACCACCTACCAACATGTAACATTCCACTAAATTACATCCCAGTAGAACTGCTCGTTCAAACCGCCGGCTCACATACTACACCTCGCAGGTTAGCGAATACGTTTCCAGCTCCTTCGGACAGTCGGTCGAGTTCGTGTTTGGAGGATACTGCATTAGGCTACGAATCCAGTTTATCGGTAGGGCGCGTTGTATGTGGCTCTGTCATGGCATGGGGTGCGTTTTGTTTTGACACAAATCATGATGCCGAGAATTTCCACTTTTTTATGCCCGCCATGTTTCTCTGTCGTGATGGTTTGTTCCAGTAGCATAACGAGCGGGTGATACGAAACTGGCTTCGAGAACACTCAACTGACATCCAGGTGACCCACCAGCGCTTTGCTCGCCTGATTTAAGCCTCATTGAGCATGTGTGGTCATGTTACAGACATCACTAAATACTCTACACCACACCCAAAAACACATCAATTATGGACAGCTTTGTGATGTAGTGACACCTTCCAGTAATTTATAACTTTAGTGTGAAACGACAAAAATTGAAGAAGGCGAAGGCAGCACCCAAATGAATGATCCAAATTTGAAGGCGAAATATACGAACAGCATTAAAAGCAGATACAATGAACTAAATAAGAATGGACATTTTAAGTTTGATACATTAAAAGAAGTAATATCAGCAAATGAAGCCATCCCAAAGAAAACTAGTGAAGGACTCGATGACAGATGAAATTTTTCACATGATGAAAAAAAGACAGCAAACAATACCAAGACATGGCACCGAGTATAGGACGTTGTACAAAGAAATTAGGGACATGTACAATCAGGAAAAAGAGGAATGGCTTGTGCAAAAGTTGTGAAGAGCCATGATTGCTCATTTTCTAAAGGGACACCGGCGCATACAAATGGAATGAGAATCGGCCTGCCAATTTCACTTTCCGCAACTATAACAGTTATGATCTATCTATCTATCTATCTATCTATCTATCTATCTTAGTTCATCTCTTCCCTAATCTATCTATCTATCTATCTATCTATCTATCTATCTATCTATCTATCTATCTCATCTCTGTTCATCTCTTTCCTTATCTATCTTAATTCATCTGTTTCTTTCATCTATCTATCTATCTATCTATCTATCTATCTATCTATCTATCTATCTATCTATCTATGTTCATCGCTTTCCTTATCTATCTATATCATCTCTGTTCATCTCTTTCTTACCTTATCTATATATCTATCTTAACTCATCTGTTTCTTTCATCTCTCTCTCTCTCTCTCTCTCTCTCTCTCTCTATCTATCTATCTATCTATCTCAGTTCATCTCTTTCCTTATCTATCTATCTATCTATCTATCTATCTATCTATCTATCTATCTATCTATCTATCTCTTTTTTCACTATCTGTCTATCTATCTCAGTTCATTTCTTTCTTTCCTTATCTATCTATCTATCTATCTATCTATCTATCTATCTATCTATCTATCTATCTCTTTTTTCACTATCTGTCTATCTATCTCAGTTCATTTCTTTCTTTCCTTATCTATCTATCTATCTATCTATCTATCTATCTATTTTTTCACTATCTGTCTCTCGATCTCAGTTCATATCTTTCTTTCCTTATCTATCTATCTATCTATCTATCTATCTATCTATCTATCTATCTATCTATCTCTTTTTTCACTCTCTATCGATCTCAGTTCATATCTTTCTTTCCTTATCTATCTATCTATCTATCTATCTATCTATCTATCTATCTATCTATCTATCTATCTAAATAAATAAATTAATAAATAAAATGATATGTTCACCCGTACCCACCCATATGCATCGATCTTTTCAACGATTGATTTCAAGTGATATCATTACTTGTATTAATCATTTACAAGTTAATAATGGGCAAAAGAAGTGTGTTTTAAGAAGCTAAATTCTTGTTTAGCCAACAGTGTAAAAGATCAGAAGAAAATTTTTACAATCCGTTGCAAAAGTCGGAAAATTAAAAGCCGACAAAAGTTTCTGAAATAATCGCCTAATGAAAGTTTCTTGTTTGTATTTGTTGCCGATTTTAGCGCTAAATCCGGCGAGCAACAGCAGGCCGATATGGCCGACCGGTAGACCAAAGCATGACTTGTTTCGTTCAACATTTTCCAATTATTTCAACAAGGTTTGGCCACAGAGAGGAAATTGATTTCGAAATTACTTCGTGATAGTTTCTCGGATCTTTGACGCCTGATTTTGACTCCTACTCGTTTTGTCTTTACTCCCGAAATATCAACACCAGAAGCAAAGGCAGCACATTGATCCCCACCCTCATATCCTTCCTTGCTAGGCACTGCCTTGGCTCGGCCCTTACCCTCAGTTGTGTATCCAACATGGTGGCAATTTTAATCGTTATGCACATGACTTAATCTTGCATAAATAGAAGCAAATTGATGTCTGCATTTGTTTTTTTTCCCGCCCAAACTGTCAGGGCAGTTTTTGGGAAGCAAACTTATCCCCCAAAAATTTTGAACAAAATTAAGTAAGATCAGACTGTTTAAAACTAAATTAACATACACAACGGATGAAACTAAATAGAATTCAGATCCCCCACCCCCAAGGAAAAATCAGAATTCTGTTTGTTCATTAGTTCGCGCGTACGTCACACCCTGTCAATACCTCTTATAAACAATGGACCATTTCTGTTTGATGGCGAGATTAGACGGAAGAAATTATGTATCAAAAGCGTTGTTTGGCTTAAAAAAAAGTACGAAATTGAAGCTTAGTAGTGGAACAATGCCGAACGTGTGATGGGGGGGGGGTACCCAGTAAGGATCGAACTCACTACTCTGTCATAACTGTTCTACCGAGACAAGCTGGCTAACCACTACACCACGCCGAGGTGCCCAAGTGCAAAAACAAATTAATGAAAAAAAGAAAGGAAAGATAGAGGAAACCTTAACACTCTCATGTTGTAACGTCTGCTTCAGTAAAATGTGAATCTTTTCAAATCTTATCATTTGTACCCTCTTACTTATTTAAATAATGACCTCACAACAATCATATTCATGATTGTAATTGTAATATTTTGTTGAGGTTGTTAAGCTCAAATATTTAACCATGCAAAAGGGGAATTTTCGCAGGTATTTTATCGTCGTAAAACTCGCAAGAGCTTATGCAATCATTAACTTAAGAATTGAGATTAAAGATTTGAATTGGAAAACTGTGAAAGTTCCACAGGTATTTCTAGTAGAACATAATTTCTTTTAACACTATTGTGTTTCGTATTCTTGGCTGGGGTTGAGAAGATTCTGTGCGTTGACGAACATTGACCGGTTGAAGAGGTATTCATGGACAATTGGGCAGCGTTCCGTTCGGAAGTGTTTCGGGAGATGTTGGACAAGTGGAACACTAGGCAATATTATAGAGCAGCGTACAGGCCTAGTGGAAATGGTATCTGTTATGGTCCAAGTTCCTTGTACTACGGTGATGGTCCAAGGTTAGAACCAATAAAAGAATAACACGAACAGGTATGGAATACAAAGATATATTACAACAGAAATATAATACAAAGAAGTAGAAGTATTAGTAATGACTATAAGATTTGGTTAGAGTTAACTATGTTGTCTCGACAAGTATCACTATTCCAATGTCCTTACAATATGCTCTCAATTATCTCTCCTCGTCTTAAAATATATGCCCATACCTCTTGAGAGGCGCAGTATTTATAATGTCAGGAATAGTCCATTATTATTATGGGTAAGTTCCCATAACAGTATCCTAGAACGAAACCACCGAACTATAAAAGTCACGTAAATCTGGCCAACATGAAAACACTGTGCCGCACAGTGCAATTTACACATACCAATGATCATGTTTAACACACACTGACGAGCCTGAATCTATACGGAATGGAGACGAGGTTTGGGTCAAGCCAACTGGATCCTGCTGCACGACAAAATGGACAAGAGGAACGGTTACCGGGGTGCAGTGTTGAGCTGGAGTATGCCAAGACATGTTCTTGACCTTAGAGTGATTCAGGAGGATTCAGAGAATGATGCGGACAATGGGAGAAGATCTCATGAGGCTCAGCGCCAAACACTGCGGAGATCGCAAAGAGAGCGACACCCGCCCAGATAGACAGATGACTATGTAATATGAGATGTGATCATGAGATCAGGGGGGGGCTTGTAGTTTGAAACAAAAAAAAATAAACTTACCTCAGGGACGATCGTACGTAAAAAGAATCTCGTGGGGGGAAGCCATATTTTTATGCTTATAAATTAACGCAAGATCACGGCGACCACGAGATTTGAGAAAATATAAATATGCAGTGTACGGAAGACGGGGGTAGGGGAAGTTAGTCTACAAACGACCGGACAATAAGGCAAATACATCTACAAAAATAAACAAAGGAATGAATAAAAGAAAACAAATTTTATTCTGCCGGAAACTTTTGGTAAATGGAGTGGATAGAATAATTCCTTAAAGACCGAGTAAAACTAGGAATGTTCTTGTGATAATCTTGAATAAGGACAGTACCGGTTGCCATTTTCTGAGAGCGTGGAGATGTGTGCCCTTTCTCGTTTCTAGTGTTGTCCGAAAAGTAATTCTTTTATTTGCTGTGTATTTTCAGAACGTCGGTGATCATGACTCTTCACAACTTCCTGTCCTTTATAGCTCTTACCAATATTTGCCTTTTTATTATCCTTCCCACTTCCTAATCTATCATCCATTTACATAAATTTGTTAGGCAGGTTTCTCGTTTTTCCCGTTTGTACCTCTGGCCTTCAATATGTCGTGAAAGTAATATATTTTTTCGAACCCTCTTTCCTCATAATGTGCCTTCAAAATGTTTCCTTCTGATTCTAAATATAAGTGTTCACATTCCTTTAAATTTTCTCATTACTCACATGCTCCGTCCTTCGTATTCTCAGCAGCCTTCTGTAGAACCACATCTCTAATGTTTCGAGCTTCTTTTTCATCAATGAGGAAATGTCCAGTATTCACTACCATACCAGGAGGATTGATATTACATCGAAGTTTAGCACTGCGCATGCGCTTGTTTTTTTTTTTTCGTATGCCTATTATGGTGAAAAGAGAAGTTATTTCTCATTGTGTTTTGAAATCATGCGTGTCTGGACAGAGACATAGTGCAACAGCCTCTACAAAATCAAAACCGAAATTAAACTTCTAAATTCATCATTAAAACAAAACAAAAGTTTTCAAACTGAATATCTTCTTTGTGTCGTGACTCTTCAGGACGTTAGCGATCATGGCTCTCCACAATTTCCTGTCATTTGTAGCTCTTAATAAATTTTGTCTTTCTGTTATTTCTCCTAAACCCTGTTCCCGCCATCCATTTACTCTGCTCACTAAGTATGTTATGCGTCATTTTCCTCATTTCTTTTTATCTTGAATCTGTCTTGTGAGTATCAAATTTTCTAATACTTTTTCCCCATTATGTACCCTAGAATTTTCACCTGTCTTTTTCTGATGTCAAGTATAAGTGTTCTTTTCGTTTTCCATTTTCTCTAAAACTTCGTCATTGCTTACATGTACGGTCCATAGTATTTTCAGCACCATCCTGTAGAATAACATTTCTTTTGCTTCAAGTCTCTTCATCTGTGTGAAGATTGTCCAGAATTCATTGTCATAGAAGAAGACATTACGTAACAGCTCAGTACTCTTTTTTTAGTTTCGAACAATTTGTTTCTGTTTTATTTTTATATCTTTTGAAATAAGATTAAATTCACGTTGAAAATTGAAACTTGGAAGTAGAAAACCCTCGCCTTTTAAAACAATTTCAAATTAAGATTCTAAACATATTTTGGCTTTTGAAACAGGACACATTTGAAGTTCAACATTAATAAAGTATAGGAATAAAGCATTCATTTTGAGAAAGAAGACAAAAAGTTAGAAATCGATGCTACTTTTGGGAAATAAGAAAACGTTTATATTCTGAATAAAACGACCATTCTAAAGAGAAAATTGTTTTTTTCTTTTTCTCTCTTAAGAAAACGAAATGAAAATAAAATTCTAAACTGATCTTCATTTTCTAAAGAACAGAAAAGTTTTTGAGTTGATCGAAAAATATGAGGAAATGTATTCGCCCTCTAA